GGAAAAAATACGGAGAATTTCCGGCCGGAATACTGCCACCCAGTTCCGGCGACTTCCGGTGTTTTCCTGCCGGAACCGGCCCGTACTTTTCGACCTGGGCTAGTGGTCTTGGACTACAACGATAGTGCTCAAACGCGGCCCCTTGGAAGTCGGTTAAGCTATATTCCAAGATGTAGTGACTAAGTGAGTTTTGAAGAGCAGACTTTGCTCTATCAAAACCTATATTTGAAATTTTATTCCATCTTGAAATGACCAAGATATAGACATCAACTTTTTTTAATCAATTTCCTCATTGTCAAGAACAATGGATGGTGGGGGTGATATCCAACTAATAAGGAAAGGAATGATCATTTCGCATGAAAGTTTCAGCATTTATAGAGCCTATAAGCATCGGTTATTTCTTCAAGTTTCAGCTGTCTATGTTGAAGTTTCGTGCTACTTCGATGTTGAATCAACTATAATTCATATATGATTTATATCAGTGATTAGTTATAGTCGAAAAAAGACGTATATGACATAACAATTTTATGACTTGAAAGTTGAGTTATATATGATTCGATAGAGAATTCAATGCTGAACAAAACCATGCATATGAATTGAAATAAAAGTGTGAAGTCCGAGATAAAATCATGAGTATATGTCTTACCATGAATCATACATAGGTAATATTAGGGCAGTGTAACGGATCGAATGTCACTATGGTTCACAGGATCATTTTGGTTTTTTCAACACCGAGAGTGCACATGACAAGCTACGAAAATAGTTAGTTAGCAGTGTTCAGCAAACGTTTGCGTTCAGACGCATCATGCAGAAAAGTAACCAAGTGATGAAGCGATGATTCATGGGGTGACATGCGTTTCATCTCAGGTATTCCGAACACGCGGTCGCGTGTCTGGAAGTAAGGAAATGAGTTTTATCCGTAAAGATTTATGACGGCAGTTCGTGAACAACTTTGTACGAAAGACCGTAATAGAGAAGCAGGGAAATAGGAATGGGTTGATCGGAAGTTCGGAATAGAATACTCATTGCTATATCTAATGTAACACCTGGAGGTCGTATTGCACAAGGTCGGATGTTCGGAATGTAAGTGTAAGGATACTTTTTACAGAGACATATCCGAAGAATGGAATGACATTGGCAGGGAGTTCGTGCAAGAATTGAGGTGAGGGTGAAGGTGTGAGTCTATTCTTCACCCACACCCACACCCAATATGAACAGCATTTTAACAATTTTGTCACATAGGGCAGCAACTGTGACCCTACTAAATATTCGTGCGGGTCTTTTTGTCTGTTAAATGATATATTGAAAGATGCAAAATTTTACGCGCTATCAGAATATATAACTCTCATTGTATTAGCTAGTTCTCCAATTAAGATATTTTGCAAAAAATGAATAGAAAAGAAAGAAAAAAAATGCAATTCGGAGAAATCTGACGATGATTGTGCTTGAAACTTTTTTTAGCGAACAAGTGCAATTTAATATGTTTATACATAGAGTTGTAGAGAATTTTATGCGCTATCAGAATATATAATTACTTTTCTAAAAATGAGAATTTATAGTAACGATACATTAAAAATATCGAGTATAACTATTGGAGATTTTTGATAAAAATAATGGAATATAGTGAAAAAATTTTCTGCACTAAAATTCAAAAAGCCAAACTTTTGAAAACGCTATTCGACGCAGTTTGATGTGCTCTTTCAAATGAGACTATTCTCGAGTTTGCTCATCACGCTGATTTGACCAATTGGTCCTATACATTGGGATCCTGTTGTCTGAACATGACATATGGTATCAACCAAAAATTATTCGACAATAAGACACTTTCAATACCATCAAAAGATAGCCCATCGTCGACAATATTTATGGTAAAAAAATCTTTGTTATAGCTCTTATCGTTGCTTGGAAAATGAAAAAGTACTGAAAAGTACTGCACAAAAAAGTATTACAAATATACCCCACCCCCTCATACTTGTATAGTCTATATGTCCAGAATAGCTCATCCGTTTAAGCTGAAATTTTCAGTTTCTTTCTGACTTTGTAAGGGCTACCTACTGTAAACATATCAGCCAAATCAGTGACATCGATTGAGCAACCTTTTGCTGTAACCGGTCGTTGCTTAGATGCAATGGCTCCTATATAGAATACAATAATTTAATTTTGAAAGCGATTCTCTCTTCTACCAGCAAAAGGTAAACAAAATTTGTTTTTTTTCTTCAAGACAATAAACTAGTTTATCTGAGAATTTTTTTTAACCTTCAATTTATTCACCGTCATCAATTGTTGGTTTGTCTATGTTATTTTTTCAGTTTCATATGTCATATTTAGAATCTTCTGGATATTACTAAACAACAAGTTGAATAATGTTATAATCACGTATATTACTTTATTTTCTGACAATATTATTGTTAATAAGCGATTGCTGTGAAGCACAACACGCAATAAGTAAAGCTGTAAAAGCTAAAACTAACAGAAAAATAAAAGAAGAAAATTCAACGAGGAAAACAAACTGTTCAAGATGTTAAAAATCAAGAAAAAGCACCATTTGATCGAGCAGGTGCAAAAATAAATAAAAAACATGAAAATACAAAGCGAAAAATCCAAGCAATTGAAGAAGTTATTAAGTCATAATTTTATTTTCAACTATTTATTTCTTTTTTTTTTGTGCAATTTTTAATAACTCGATCTATTTATCAATAAAAAAGAAGATAAAGAGAAATCTATTTAGTATTTATCGAAGGATATTCTAAATAAATATGAGTAAAACTGAAAGGTATTATTGATAGTTAGGATGTAATCCAATGTTATGTTCTTGAGAAGTTTTGCTCCATTGATTACTAATCATTGCTGTAGTTTCCGTAGTCAAAGCAATTGATGATTGAGATTTTAATTTATTCAAAATTAAACAACAAAAAATAAAAATTCTTTTCATTTTTATTAATATCATGTTTAAAAAAATAGCTAGAATAATGTTAACTCGAATAATTCATTTATCAATAAATGTCATTAAAATTTTTTGATTTATTTATTTATTGGAATAGAATCAAAAGTTTGTCTGAATATATTTGGACGATCAGTAAATAAAACATCAATACCAAGTTCAATCATTTCTTGTTGAACTTTTTGATCATCAAGTAATGGACCAACTAATGCTAAAGGTTTTCCTGCTTTATGTATTGTATTAATTAAATGTTCAGTTAATTTAGATCGTGTATGTGGTTCAAGAAAAAAACCAAGTATATCACGTTCATATGGGTAATTTTCATTAAGTTCACCTTTTCTATAAGCTTCAGAAATTTTCATCATTGTTTCAATATCCGTACATATTGGTATTGAAGAAAATTTTTGTTTTTGTAATTTTTTATTTATTGTTCGATCAACAGCACCGAATATAACACGATATTCAAGATTATGTCGTTTGATAGTATCAGATGTTAATGGAATAGCTTTAGCATCTTTCATATGTAAGAAAAAAATTAAAGATGATATTGGTGTAAATTCAGCTAAAATTTGAAAAAACAAACCTAGTGTCCTTTCATTAACTTGTATTCCATTAATAATTCCATCATGATTAAGAACAAGATGTTCATCATTTGTTTTCCATATATCTGTTTCAAGAATATCTGTTCGGCGTGGGTGTGGGTGTGGGTGTGAGTGTGTGGATCCTACTTCTATTTAGGGTGTGAGTGTGGATAAATAAAAGTAAGACCCACGCCCACACCCACCCACAACCACACCCACACCCAGACCCCACACCCACGCCCACACCCGCACCCACACCCACACCCATACCCACACCGCACACCGACACCCATACCCCACACCCCACACCCACACCCACCCCACACCCCACCCACGCCCTGATTGATATCGTAGTAAAACATGATTTTAATTTTTCACTTCACAAAAACAGCATAGTAATAACCTGATGATAATAAAATTGGATAAAAGAACGTAAAAAATTTCGAAAATGTCTGATTGAACATTGGATGTATTCCCTAAGATTGTGATATGAATAGCCAGTCTGACAGATAGTGCCATCAGCCTATTATTTATTAACAGTTTAGTTGATATACCCCTCGTAAAAATTTATCACCACCTGAGCACCATCTCGGCACCAGTTCAGCATCTCAGCACCACAGCACCATCTCAGCACCTTTGATCGAAATTTGGTGCGATGGTGCAGCACTTACCCTCCTGAAACTAAGCCACAAAAAATAAATCTAGAACACATACCGAAGAATTCTCCTAGAATAGTTTTCAAATACTCTCTCCTGAAAGTCGACAACAATTGATCAGAAGCACCTACCTGTTTATTTCATCACAACTCCCAAACTGATCAAGACACTTACCATTCAAACAAAGTTACGTCCACTAGACAAATCGAAAAGTGAATCAGATAAGAATCATTCATACTCCGAACTCGCATTGAAGATGATATCTTTTGTTCATTTTCGTAATCTAGGGCATAATCATTTGAATGTTTTCTTATTTTCCGGAACCGTTCCCTTTCCAAAAACATTATTGAAACTCTGCATTGATATCCTGCTCATCAATAGGAACCATGGGCTTCTGCCTCACACCGGTAATATTTCGCAATATATTTGTCACTTTTTCTCTGCCATTCAGTGATGTGATGAGATCGGTTTCTTTTCATATTCCACCAACCTCTAATAATAACAATCAAATGGATCTATCTATTTATTTCAGAAGATAAAATGAGTAAAATATAGGGAAAAATAAAAAAAAAGAATAAGTGTCAATATTGTGAAGTTTCTTTTTCAACTGCCGACAATCTTGTTAAGTTAGATTAGAGTTTAAAGAAACAAAGTCGTCGACCGATGACTGGGTATGGTCCAAATGATTTGCCAGGCAATGGTTGTGCTTTGGTATTAGTGAGGAAACTGCCGAGTGCAAAATAAGCAAATCTGAATGTTCCTTGGGCAGAATCTGAATTTTTTGCCCAATTCAAAACGACATAATTAATGGCCAATGTACTTGGAGTAGAACTGCCAGCAACTTGATAATTATAATTAGCAGTGCGAATTTCAACTCTATTTCTTCCAAGACATTTCCATTCTCCAAGTTGAGCACTATACGGTTGAGCCTCAACTCCGGCTTGTGGACTAAAACCATTTTCTGTATTGTCAATTGAAGTAGTTGTGCCGTCTCCATGAAGTTGCACTACTTCGTAGGCTGAAAAAGTGCTATAGTCTAGTCTAATTTGAAAGGTGACACCTCCAAGATCACCACATTGATTGTTTCCATGATCATTACGTTGACCACGGTTATCATCTGCACCACCGTTAGCACTGATTAGCGCTGTCACAAGCAGCATTATTAACACTAGTCGCATCATCTTTTTGATTTTTCTTTAGGTGAAACGCGATGAATCTAAAACATAGTTTTGAACATTAATAGATTTAATCGATTGGTATCAAACTACCGAATGAAAAATATTCACCGATTTCAATCGGATTTTTCTGCAACAAAATCAAAATTAAAATCGATTGATAATTTTGATCATCGTTGATAATGACTTAACTATTACTTGATATTGTTACCTATCCAGTGTGAAATTTTCTGATTAAAATCGGATTATTTCGCAACAAAATCGAAATTATTAATCGCTTTATAATCTTGACTTTCCTGCAGAACAATCCGATTTTAATCAGAAAATTTCACACTGGATAGGTAACAATATCAAGTAATAGTTAAGTCATTATCAACGATGATCAAAATTATCAATCGATTTTAATTTTGATATTGTTGCAGAAAAATCCGATTGAAATCAGTGAATATTTTTCACTGAGTAGGTGATGAGTAAATCCGGAGTAGACGACCTTCAACTAATAATCATTGTAGAAATATGTGAATCTATATGGTTTCTCATTTCAAAATCAATTTTGACAGAAACAACGCTCAATATTTCTCAAAACTGTTGATTTTAACAGTCTAGATAAGCGGATTTCCTCACGACAATAGACGTGAACATCGGGTCTCATTATATCTAAAACCCATTTCAAATCCTAGTGATTCTAAGTCAATGACACTCTTATTTCTCTATTCGCATGCCTCTCCTACATCCTTACTACATATAGGTATGTAGACTTATCATCTCTATAATTTGTTTTCATGGTGAGTATGTCAGATCTCGAGAATTCTCCATTAGTGTATATATATATATGGTCCCATACAACACTGCTTGTTTTCTGGATGACTTTGTGAAAGCACACAAGATGATGTTGCAGATATTCGAACTGTCTAGCATTAGACAGTTATATATGTATATGTATATGAATAATTCTAATGACACTTTAGCCTCTTATTTCTATCTGAAATCGAATGTTATCTTGTCTAGCATGTCAAATTGAAATGAAATATCCAATTGTATGAAACATTTCCTTGCCAAAAAGCTTATGATCTCGCCTTTTCGTACTTCTACTCTGAAATATTTTCGATGGGCAGTGAGAACATTAAAAGATAATTCAAAAACAAAATATTGCGCCATAAAATCTATTTGCTTTAAAGACTTTATCGAGAGCGCATTATTCCGTCGAAAATTAACTCAAAAGAAATTCCTTCAACAAAAATTATGGACCACTCATTCTTGAAACAGAATCGTATTTACCTTAAAGCGGGATCACATCTTCTCTGATGATAAAAGAATCCAATGTTGAAACCTTTTCATTCTACAGTAGACTTCGGAAACTACGTTGACAACCCTTGTTGCTGAAGTCTAATGACAAAAGTGTTTTAAGAATAGCTAGTCTTTACTATTCATAAGGGCAAAGAACTAGCGAAAGCTTTTTCTGCAAAAAAAAGTTATGATGATACAATGAAACAAGAAGGAGAAGAGTATCCTCCCTCCCAGTGAAAAATTTTAGGGATTAAAATTGATTTTAATTCCAAAATCCTATGGGCATAATCGAAATTGGTAATCGGATTTTTCTGCAACAAAATCAAAATTATAACCGATTGAAATCGATATTATCAATCAACATCAATCGATTATTCCTACTCGACAATCGATTGATAGTGTTTTCAATTCCGATTCTAATCGATTAAAATTTTGATTTTGTTGCAGAATAATCCGATTGATAATTTTGATTATAATTAAGAAAAATCGATTCGCAGAATTGTGATTCATGAAAGTTTAGCTCTTATAGGACTCACACACGTTAGTATAGTTATAGATTAAGAAAGCTTTTTCCAGGAATGCCAATTGGACAGATCAGGTGGTGTCGTTTAGGCAAACTGAACCACATCAACACTGTTACTATCAAGTAGAGAAACTTGCAACGTTTATCATTAGTACTTTCTATGGAGCTAATTGCCTTTTGAGTCGAAGGAAGAAGCCATCTATAAGGATGCTTTTCGAACTTCTCCCTAGTTTCTGTAGATCAAGGGTGTAGTCGCAAATTTTCCATAAACTCTGATATTACAAAGTATTATCTACTCACCAAGATCTACTGTTTCTGATACTTTACTTGTTCGCTTAGCTATTCAGTTTGAACAAGAAAGTAAACTTTGAAGGTTTTTCAACGGTATTTCGAAACAGCAGATGCCGGTGAGTAGATAATACTTTGTAATAATAGAGCTTATGGGAAATTTGCGGCTTCATCCTAGGTCTACGCAAAGTAGGGAGAAGCTCGAAAAGCATCCTTATAGATGGTTTCTTCCTTCGACTTAAAAGCTAATTAGCTCCATAGAAAGTATAAATGATAAACGTCGCAAGTTTCTCTACTTGATAGTAACAGTGCTGATAAGGTTCAGTTTGCCTAAACGACACCATCTGATCTTTCCAATTGGCATTCCTTGAAAATGCTTTCTTAATCTATAACTAAGCTGACGTGTGTGAGTCCTACAAGAGCTGTAAGTCTAATCCATTTACACGACGTGAATCTATTTCGGTGCATTCTCAGATTGTCTAAGTTACAGTTATATATATTTTCAGTAATAGGGTGAGATGAAACTAAATAGAGACCGTTTGAATGTAAAATTTCGACTACGGCCTGATTTGACATGATATTTCTTGCTTTTTTACCGAGTGATTATTTATTGAAATTCGATTTTAGCTTATAATTTACTGCAATTTCTTCTCTCGTCTCTATCTCGACTGTTCATTGGGAAAGCCTTGATGAAACTCTCAAGAGTCTCTTTATTTTTCTGCACGTTAGAAGTCTTTCAGTAAAAGTGTTTATAATTTTAATTATTCATTAAAGAACACTAAAAATTATATTTTATTACTAGATTCAAAATTAAAAAGAATGTAGTGGCATGTTTTCAAATGAACAAAAAATAATAGAATTATATCACATTTGAAGAACTCGTTGGAGTGCTTTTTTTATGCAAAACTCAAATGGAAGTTTAGTTAAATCCAGAATATAAAATATCGAGTAATAAATTCGTATAGAATAGCATGCCACAGTTCAACCAGAAACGCTGATCTATTTCTGTAATGAAAACCTAAATATCTCTACTCTTTATTCTTTGGTTGTCTGTTCAACTTTGAAAATCGGCTACTTCTGTATTGTCAAGAGATAGCAGATTTAGAAGAAAGCCAAGTACAATTCTACTAAATATGAGAACACGTTTTTTAATTAAGAATGGCTTAAGTCCTATCAGAATAATGATCTAAAAGTATCGAACAGCTGTGCAAGATCTTTTTATTATATTGCTACAACTATTGCATAAGTCTTTGCGATTTTCTCAGTACAAGTTTCTTTCAGAGTTTAGTGGCTTTCTGAAGAAAAGAGGAAATATTTCATGGGTCTCTAACGAATTTCTAAAGGATCAAACTCGAAAAAATCAAACATTTTAGCTGGGGCTATTAGCTATAAGTTGCATGTAGCATTTCCTTACCTGTTAACCAATTGTAGTCGATCATCACTTGTTAATTGAATTCATGCATAAAAATCGAATGCGAGCGCTCTTTCTTAATAGTCTAACGTTTAATGCAAAACTATTACGTTTTTTACATTTCTTATGTTTAAAAATATATAGTTGTTAAAATTTTAAAATCTCACAGATGAGTTAAATTTGAAGCTACGATATAAATTATTTTGAACTTAGATGGTCCGATGACAAAATTAATCGGTTAAAAATCCAAAAATTCGATTTACATTAACTAAAAAGGAGGTGATCAAAAATCATCAGATTTTTCCCCCACTCTGGAAACATTATAAAATGAAAGTACCTCAGTAGTATACAATTGCCTTGATATTGGTTTATCGAGATCGCGTCCCTTTTGGGAACAAAAACTTAAGAGAAGATTCACCAGAAGATCGACCACAGCCTTATATAGGACCAACTGCTGCTAATTTTTTTTTTGAAATTTTTTTAATTCAAACGAAAGATCATGTCGAGAAACTTATAAATCCAAAATATTACGATTTTCTGATGTACTTGAGAAAAATGCCGAAGATAACAATCCTCCATTTATTGACGTATACCATAAAAACTCAGAAAATGGCTTCTTTTACATTTTGGTCGTATTTTGAACTTTTCTTCGTGTCTGTTCATCGTTGTAAGCAGTAGAAAGTCTCAAAAGATACAAAATTTCAAAGGCTTTCAAAAGATGGATTCAATTTTTTGGAACGGTATGGTTTGATGAGGTTATAGACAAATTACTAGCAAAGTGTCACTCATAAACTATAGATCTCCCTCACCTTGTGGAGGCATTGTCGATTACTAAAAGTTATTATAATCACCATTGATATAGTTCATTTTGTAAAGAACTCTTTTCTGATCTTTTGAGACTTTCTACTGCTTACAACGATGAACAGACACGAAGAAAAGTTCAAAATACGACCAAAATGTAAAAAAAGCCATTTTACGAGTT